AGGGGCCCTGAGAGGCTGTCCAGCCTGACCCAGTAGGTGTCACACTTAATGTCCAAATCTCACTTTACGTCCTACTTTAATATAAGATCTTTTTAAAAAGGCATGGAAAAGCAGTTACATGTTACATACAGCAGAAGCAAATATGAAAAAGAAACTGAGAAACCCCCCTAGAACACTAATTGTGTAAGAAGGGACAAAGAGAAACTTGGAGAGGTTTTAAGATGTTCTTGTTACACTATACATAAAGCAGTATTCCTGGAATCTCTGTATCCATAGGTCTGCCTTACTCTAAGGCTGGATGGTTCTCTCCCTTGCTGGTTTCTTTAAAACTGAGATTACAAACTCAGTTTTAATTATTTTTTGTAAGATGCTCTGCAAACCTCTTTTAGAAACTTATATTTTTTTTCCTTTTTAGAAAAGTAATGTTCTATAATTCTCTTATATAGGTCTCAATGAAAAGATGGCAGTGAAACTATTGGGATTCCTGGCTAGATCTTCATATACAATAAGCCAGTGCCGATACTTTCCTACATATGGATATTTAGCATCAAGCAGCAACTTGCTATCAGTAAATCGATATCTCAGGCTATGCATCCCAGAGGCAACTTCTTCTAATTTTACTAGCAATTGCACGGACAATTCAAAATGGTTCAGTCCAAAAATTACTATTGGTGCTCTGGCAAAAATTACCAATTACTTGACTCATCCTCTTAAAGCTTCAATTTTTAAGCAGAAATTAAAACATATAAGAATACTTACTGGAATACCAAACAGACATTATTCAGTTTTATCGCCTAGTAAACTTCAACCAAATCAAGATATTGTACCAGTTAAGCGTCTACCAAAAACATCAAGGACCAAGCAGCCATCAAGAATTAACCTGCCACTACCATCTGAAGCTAAGGTAATCTGAATTCAGGATGGCAATATTGCATGCTTCTAATGAAGTAGTCTGTAATCTACAAGCTTTTATGCTGTACTAAATACATTATGCTTTGAGCTACTAAAAGACGTGACCCGTCAAAACCGCGGTCCACAAAAGCGCGCTCGACGAAAACGCGTACATGACGTCATCACAGCGCGACGACAAAAATTAAAAATTGAAATAAAA